CGACAATATATATAGTACAAATTCTGTTCAGGATACATTTCTTTGCGTAGTGATATTTCTAAGTAAAGAAAAATTATCATCGGATAAAAATTATTCTTCATAATGTATATATACCATTAAAAAATAAAATTGCAATTGAAAATGAGTTTGAGATTAAACAAAAAAAACTTACCGATATGGAGCAAAAATGCCTTAAAAATAGATATATTAGTCTATCAATTCACAAAAACCGCAATGAAGAAAAACAGATATGCAAACTTTCCCCTAAAAAAATCAATGTTAGTCATTTTTTCCCAATTATTTAAATCTTACTTTTTAAGGTTTTAAACGAATATTTGCTTATGTTACTTCTGATTAAATGAAATAAGTTTTAAAATTGAATGGGTAATAAATGAATAAGTAATTAAATAAAAAAAGTTTTAAAAACTTTAAAGTTTGCTTTTTTCATTTAAGAATGAAGACTCTTTTGAAAGAAATAGTCACAGAAAATCTGTTCGTAAGAGTTGCAAGAATTACTGAAGCCCATTATAGAAACATGTCTCGAAAAGGGTTTTCTGACTCAAACAAATCTACGTGGCAAACAAAGCAGAATTACGATGTCTTTGTCTGGTCGGAACAAATTGCGTGTCAGATTTCACAAAAGGAAAACAGCGATGTTTGCATTTCATACATATATCATTTGTATTCAGTACACTTTAATTTGCATTATATTTATTCAAGAATGTGTGTTATTTTGGTTGAGAGAGACGTTTCTAAATGTATTCTGTTCAAATAGGTTGCTCAACATTTCTCATTTTCAACGACGCGGACAGAAAAAATATTTTTTGGGGTGTTCTCTTTGTTGAACTATTTATCAAACAACGAAATAATCAAATCACATTGTGAGAATTCTGTAATTATTTATTTAAAATTAATTGAAAATTCCCTCCTAAACAATGCATGGATTTTTGGAAATAATAAAATCTTAATGAAATATCACATGGATGTTTCAAAAATGTTTCAAACCTTCTAAGAATCTTTCATATTTTTATGTATCATCGAACGTTTGCTTTAATGAGGTGATTTTAGATTTATAACATTTTAATATAATATGAAATCTTTGAAATATATTAGTTTAGTTGCAAACTCAAGCTCTTTTCAGAGAGGATAATTGAAAGCGTTAACTGTTTTGAACAGGAATTCTTCAGTATAAATGTTGATAATTCCATTGACAGTGTTCTTTTTCTAAATCAAATCACAACAGAATAAAGCTGCAATTATTTCTTTTGAATGATATGGCAATTATAAATGAATCATTGTGTGCAGATGCAAATTATGTCCCACTCAATGTGGAATGAACAGTGAATGATTCAGATATACTTCTTGAAACCCTATAATAATTCTCGTACTTTCAAAATTTATTTTAATCATGTTTTAAAAGTAAAGCATAGGCTTATAATCTGAAGCATGTTAATTTCAGTTTGAAATTCTTTAATTACCATAGCAATATTTCGGAAAATTCTTATAAGTAATGTTATATATTACGAAACCGATCTATAGAACAAATAGTGAGTAAGTTGCAAAACCGCAATGTATATTCTAAATAAAAATTTATGGATGATGCACTCAAAGTGCCGGTACTTTATAATGTAATTTCATCCGGAATTTTGCTACAGTGCATGCTGTTTTGAAGATAACGAGCTATATTATATCCGAAACATCAAAAAGATGCTCAATGCAGGGTTCAAAGGTATACTTTTCGTCTCTGAAAATCTATTATAGTTTTATACGAACTATAAAAGATGCTTCAGGTATGTAAATTTGGAAATATAACATTTTATAGTAATTTCAAAATTTTTTCAATATGGATCCAGATTCAATTTTTTTTTCGATATAGTAATAAATTACAAAGAATTGACTGAAAGAAATTTAAATTAATCGTAAAAAAATGTGCCTATCCATATAATAATGAAAGTGCGTCGTATTTGCTTTTTCAAAAGATAGGTAGAAATGTGATATAGTTTTACAAACGACTTAAACTACAGAGAAATTCAATTAAAGAACAACGTCTGTGTTATACAGTAAGAAAAGTAATCTTTGCGTTCAATAAAAAGGATTTGGTTTTTGTTTTGGCTCTTTTTTGTTTGTATTTATTCTAAACATCTGATTATGTCAGAATATCAACCTATGATTACGTCTATTCTTAAATATCGTTTTTTATCATAAAAATAGGTTTTACATTGCGTTTAAACTATTCTAAACCTTTTTTCTCTGTTGAATGACACTGTTGAACCACGACATTTTTTGAAAGATAGGTACTGGTAGCTATGGTCCACCGTACTCCAAGTTAAAATTCTAGATGTGTACTGCATCTTAGCGAAAACTGAAGGCACATAAACCCCTTCTAATTTCCGTATGTGTATGTAATTTCTGCTCTTAAATCTGAAAAGCTTACATAATGTACGATAAATTCCAAATTAATTTCATGTGCTTTTTGATTTTAATTTCCCGGTTTAATATTCAATGTGTGTCATAACACAAATCTGTTGAAATAAATAAATATTTCAGCAAAAGAAATCATTATTCCGATACGAAGTTTTATCCAACCTGGTTGGGTTTTATCCTACTTCTAAAAAATAATTAATTTACTTTTAAAAATACAGGTTTTTTACATTAAATATTTTTGGTGAAGATAAACAAACTATCTTACAAATAAAAATGCAAGAAATTTTGCTCATAAAGTAAGCAATTTTATTTACGGGAAAAAAACTTTAGATTTTCTTTGATACTTTACTATTAATAAGAAGCTATTAATTAAGCTATTAAAACACTGAAAATTTATTTAATTAATATGAGACTTAAATTAATTTAATTACTTACTTAAGTAAAACAGCTTTTAATATAAAATTTTGTAGCTTAAATTAGCCATTTTACTTCTCATAAATTAAGCATTACTTTTTTTTTATAAATCGATAACATCAAAACATGTTACAGAATTGCTTTGCAGATTAATTTTAATGATAAACAGCTTGTTCATTGTATTTGTTTTAAGCCCTAATTTGTGTAATCTTATAATGCAAAATATTAATCGAATTGAAGATTATGCTCATTTTCATCAATCTATTTAGTTGTGTTTTGTTTTCTATTTTAAAGCCCTTAGATTTAACTTTTCTTTTCAGTTGCTCTACAAAGTTATTTAAGAATTATACTTATTCATTAATACTTACTCATACATCAGAAAATATGTTTTAATTTCTGACTTTCTGCTTTCCAACCAATTTCATAGAAGGTTAAAAAATGTCTTGCTTAGTTATTTCAACGTTGTAACAAAATTTATTGAGCACTACATCTTATTTCTAACTTTAAACACAAGTTTTAGTATATATGTATACGTATCCTTATACTT